ATACCATACCATACCGACAAGCATACCATATTGATTGGGGGCAAACTTAAGGGAGGGGTGGGGGAGATGTAACTCTCCAGTTTAAACAAATCATTCAAAAGTTGACAATAATTATGGAAGCTAAGGCCCTTATTATATCGAGGCAAGTTACCCGGCTAAGCGAGTTGATCAAAGGGTTTAGATCATTAGTCTTTCATTATATGTAGTTTTTAACTCATGTAGCCGGGTAACTCACCTCTATATAATCAGCCCCTGAAAACGGACTTTCACTTGTGTGCTTAAATTAGCAGCATAACACTAGTGTACTCCAAATTTCTTAATTTGAAGTGCTTAATATTTCAATCATTTGGAAGAATGGATCTGGGAAGAATAATAAAGCAATTTAAGAAGTATTGATTGTCACTGTTGATATAAATATAAATAATAAAGACTTTAGTAATAGACTTACCACTGGTGAATACAGTGTGCTTCGTCTACAGCAACTCCAACAAGATTTTCTACGAACGCTTTATAAGCAAATATTCCTCTCCACTTGTTAGTGGAAAGGAGACACTCGGGAGAGGCATATACATGAGAATATCGCCCTTGCATCACGGCTTCTATTACATTGTCTTTCGATTCGTCCGTAATACAAACGGCAGGTATTCCTAATTCCTTTAAGAATGAAACCTGTTCTTCCATGAGTGATTTTAAAGGAGAAATTACGACCATAATACTTGTGCCTTTCGCTCGAAGTTTTACGATGTCATAAATCAACGGGACTGCTTGAAAGATCAAGGACTTTCCAAACGAAGTAGGCAAGTTCACATACACATGTTGGCCTGAAAAGTGCGCCTGCAACGCCTCTATTTGTTCAGGATAAAATTCATTTAAATTAAACGTAGAACATGCAATACGTAAAGCAGTATCCCAACGATGATCAGGAATATTGTGAGAGTGTCTCAGCGCCGCCATGTTTGCAAATACAAAAAAAAATTAATTCGGGAATAATTTAATGAACAAGCCAATCATAACGTTTGATATATTGCTTATGTAGACCAGCCAATCACAAACAGTTACTTAAATTTCCGTAAGTGACTACGTCACTGTACACGATTAAGCCCGAATTTCAGCAGACTGAAATTTCCCCCTTCTAAATTTCAGGCTGCGAGCAGGCTACCCAATCCCAAACCCTTCTCTAACCCTAACCCCTAACCCTAACCTTTTGAGAGTTAGATCGGCTGCCGGTAATATAGTCACTTTGTTTTTATTTCGTTTCCAAAATTTGAGCTCGTTTCAGTTTTATTGAATCGTTGAAGAGAATTTTTGCACTCCGGAATTTTTATCCAAGCAGGAATAGTTCGCCATAGTTCGCGTATTCACTAAACGCCTGGTACCTAGTTTATCTTTTAGAACGCGGAGCATCGCGGGATAGCGTCGTTTTACATTTTTGTGAAAAACTTTATATAAATATCCATGAGCGCCTTCAAGGCAATTTAAATGGCAAATAAAGATGGGAAAAGCATCAGAAAGTCCTTAAAATGTTGTTCAGATACCACAGGTAAGAATAATTGTATATTTGACTTGTTATTTAAACAGATTCATTGCGAAATAATGTAGTGATTATGACTGTTTACTTGAGCGAAGTGTGAAAATATTTCATTGAATGTTTGAATTTGCCGCGTTTGTTTTGCATATAAAACATGCAAATGTTGCTTTCAGGCAAGGGACGAAAGATTAAAATATAAATTCATATCTATTATTGTGAATTCCATACTAATTTACGCACTAATATTAACAATTTGACAATACTAAATTGCCTTTGACATTGGCAGTTTGCTAGACCTTTCAAATGTCAAGACTGAAGGCTATATAGTGATATGATACATAATAAGATATTATACATACGGATGTTTTTGAAGATCTGTTAGCATTTTAATATTTGAATAAGGATTGGAATTACAGGAGAATGACAGCATTTAATCTGATATTTTCAGTGTATAGATAGCTGAATAACTGAATTGCATCCTACTTTATTGTTTACTCTGTCTAATGCCAGAGGATTTTCCTACTTGCCTTGCCGGATAACTTGGCTACTGTAGAGAATGTTTAGTTTTCCCGACTTACTATACTTCACCCGGGAAACTCTGCAACCCTAGATAGAATGTATATGCCTTTCATTTAAAATAATAGCCCAAAAATGCATACAAATCATTAGGTATGTTTATAGCTTTCCTCTATTTCTAGCAGCTTATTCTTGCCTATTTTGTAATCATGTTTTTTAAACCTTTTGAATGATCCAAATTGTGTTTGTATTTTGTCATTGCGCAGCAATAATGGGGTAACTTGATTTCATATAAATAGACTGCTTTTTTGTCCTGCCTGAGTGAGTAACTCACCTTGCCGGGTAACTCGCCTACTGATGTACTGATATCCATATTGGTGTATCAGTCATCTTTGAATTTCGTGAAATGACATGTATTATCGGTATCGGCAAAGTATTGGTCTTTTATTATCAGTTATCAGAATATCTGTGAATTTCCATATATCTATGCATCACTAATACAGTTCAAGATTGTGTTTATATGAGAAAATGCCATCCTGCTCGCCGGGACAATTTTGTTATGTTGACATTGTTTTGACAGTTGTTAAAAATAGCTTGCAGCTCGGCATCTTTGACCATTCATCCTGGCCCAGCCTGCTTGTGAGTGTATATGTGGAGAAATTTTCATCCCAATAAGCAACATTGTGGCATCAGAGCCAGCCTGCTTGTGGATCCATATAAACACATGATAATTTTTTCTAGATAAATATACCTAATGCAGTAAGATCTTGCTTACCGGGCTGTCCCGCTAAGCGGTCCAGCCCAGCTTCCATATAATAAATACATTGTACAGCTGGTTTAAAGAACCATGAACAGCAACCGGAAGTAAACTATACTGTCAGTAACTGTGTGATATGGTATTGGACAAATTATTACATTTTTTAATATTGCAGCTTTGGTGCATGAATAAGGGATAATAGTCTACTGGGCACTTGCCACAAGAAAATGATAACTGAATCCAGGACATCTGTATCTGCCTACAGCCATGTCTCTGCTTAATAAAATTTATATAAAACATATGTAGTTTAATACTCCCTCTTTCGTCTTCTACTAATATGAACAGGTGATTGGCCGATTATAACATTAAACAATAAACCCTTTGTGTAGCACCCCCCTCCCACAAAATCCGTCTATGCTTTTTAATCTAGTTAACTTAGGTAACTGAGGAGTGATTCAGATTAGCAAGCAAGTCTCCAGGTCTATTGTTCTTGCAATTTTGTATATATATATAGCTATTTCAATTAAGGTTGTCCCCCAAGCAAAGCAGAAAAGTCGAATACAAGCGCGAAAGGCTGCTGAAAATCGCTAATAAATTCATTTATATTTCTGTATACACCACATATAATACTTAGAGTGATGCTTACATTCTCAATATGTAAGTAAACTTTTACAGATTACTAGCTGTATAAGGATGTATATATAATGGTCTCCAGTGGCATTTGCATGATGTGTTTGGAACAATGTTTAATGTGCATTATAAAGAAATCTATGGACTTTGAACAAACGGTTTGTCAGATAATATTGCTTGTCATGTGGAAAGAGTTGAAAAATTACTGCTTCAGGTCTTCAGGAGAACTTAAATTTGCTACAACACATTCCTGTGCAATCAGAACTACACCTAGTTGTGTAACAGTGCAGCTGAAAAAAGAACTTGTATAAATTGACATTAATTTGATGTTTTGTATGTTACTCTGAGTGTATATCCACACCGGGCAGGCTAAAAAGTTAGCCTGACCATGGTGGGAATCGAACCCGCAACCTTTGGGACACTAGTCCAATGCTCTGCTAACTGCATAATACACTCAGAGTAACATCAAAAACAATATTCACCTGAGTACCTGTACATATAAACACCCAAACAACACATTCTTAATAAGAAAATTCTTTTTAAGAAAAATTTCTTGATTTGAGAAATTATTTTCTTAAAATAAGAAATTATTTTCTTATTTTAAGAAAATTTTCTTATTTCAAGAATTTTTTTTCTTGGGAGAATAACAAGAAAATTTTCTTAATAAGAAAATTCTTTTTAAGAAAAATTTCTTGTTTTGAGAAATTATTTTCTTAAAATAAGAAATTATTTTCTTATTTTAAGAAAATTTTCTTATTTCAAGAAAACTTTTTTCTTGGGAGAATAACAAGAAAATTTTCTTATTAAGAAAAAAAAATTCTTGATTTGAGAAAATATTTTCTTAAAATGAGAAAATATTTTCTCAATTTAAGAATTTCTCTCAAGAAAATTTTCTTAATAAGAAAAATTTTCTTAAGAAAATTTTCTTATTAAGAAAATTTTCTTGTTATTCTCCCCAGAAAATATTTTCTTATTTTAAGAAAATTTTCTTAAAACAAGTTTTTTTTTTCTTAAAATAAGAAAATGATTTTTTGCTGTGTAGTGGGTGATTTCAATCATATCATACAGTGATTTGATGGTCATATCACCCAGGTGATATATCCCCCTCGCTCCAGGTCTATAAATGATAAATGTTACGTGCAGCCAGAGATCTGAATAGAAGTCCAGAATTTTGACATGATAATAACAATTCCCTTTTACGTAATGTTCAGTTATTTTTTTCTCAAAATACTTTTCGTGATGAGAAAATTGGCCCGATTGGAGATGTGTAAAAGCAAAAAAGACCGCAAAAACCCCTATGATTCCATAATACAAATTATATATTTGAAAATGTTTCGCACGTAAATTATCCTCACTATGACGTCAAAGTTGCAAGCCATAAATGGATACGTAAAATGAATTATGTTAAGCAGCTCTAAACGTGGTGGACGTTAACATTCTTATTAACCTTAAAATTTAATCTTGATCTAAAATTAAGGATAAAAGTTAATTTTATAATTGCGAGAACATACACACACAGAACAAACCAACCTTTTCAATGAGACGTCGATAACAAGCGTTTTTCTCAATCAAGCCTTTTAGATGGCGTAAAAGAACACATACCGGGGACAACCGTCGCGGATCGAGTTTATAGAATAGACCATAATCTGAAATTAGAAATCAACGACACTGATCAACGTATCGAACGTGATATACAAGCATTTGTATGGGCATTTTGACCTACACCATATAAAGGAAGTTTGCACTGTGGCAAATAATGGTTAACTAAAGATGCAGAGCAAGACTGCATCTAGGACCTGTATACGAGTTTGTATGCGTTTCATTTAGTTTCATTTCGTTTTATTTATGATAAAAACAAATATTTGCGTATTTTTATCATCAATCATAAACATTCAATAAATATAGTGTATTTATAGTTAGAACAAACATTTCGTGAAAATATTCACCCCCCCCCCCCCTGTGTCCACGAGAACTTTTCGCGAAGATTGCGCGTGACTTTCAAATGATTTGTTTTTTATTTTGAACTAAATGGTTTACGGGACGTTTTTTCCTTCCAAATGCAACTAATGTTTTCAATTTTTCGATTGGGACTATTCTACAATGAAGTACTCTTGGATACTGTAATCTAAATACATATGAAAACGAAGAAGTGGCATTTATCGGGCAGAGAAGTGGCGAGCCATTAAAATGGCGACAATTTGACGAAATATCGAAGGACACAATATCGAAGATAAAATACACTGCACTGTTTCAAAACTTGATGAAACCTTCTTTGAAATCTTCTTCAGCCATTCATGATTATGTAAAAATACAACAACTGGATGATATTTGCCAGATTCGGCGATAAAAAGCAAACAAGACGGCAAAATATGGCTGAAATCGTGTTTTCGTGGGGGGTAAGTGAAATAAAATGTATTATATTTAATGAAAATAATAACAATCCTTATGAAATCCAATATAGACCAACGATCAATACTTTCAGAAAGTCTTGATCAACTTTATAGCACCTTTTTCTTGCTTCAA